ACATTAAAATCAGCTTGGTAGTTCTTGAGAAATCTTTAAAAAACTTCTTTTTTACATATAAAATTTTTTTAAAAAAATCAATTTTTTTTAAAGAAATTTTATATGTGAAAAAGAAGTTTTTTAAAGACTTCTCAAGAACTACCAAGCCGATTTTAATATTCTTACTACTATTAGATACTTCTTGATAAGTTTTACAACTTTTGTTACAAGCCCAAGAGTGATTTACTTAGTAAAAAAAAAAGTTTTAAATAGGCATGCTCCATATTCGGGCTTATAGTAAAATTTATATATAAAAAAAAATATATTTGTTCAGATGACTTGTGATTTGCCAATTAATATAATTGTCTCAAATTGTAATTGAGATGTCTTGAATAACAATCAAGACATCTCAGGTACTTGATTAACAAGTTATGTGTTTCACCTAACAATCAATATCTGAAATACCACAGTTGTCATCTAAAACAAGAAGCGATTAGAACACAATATATATAATACATTGTAATAATTTATTTCTATAAATATTGATGATAATTAATAAAAATCCAATCAATTTTAATTGATAGTGATAATAAGAATCGTTTAAAATCCTTAGATTTTAATCAATTATAATTTTATTTTAAAATTTTCTGTATACTATGAAAAATACTTGATGCAGTTAAAAAGAAGTTTGATAAAAGGTTCTGGAAACATATATGGAACTTTAAATATGAACTAGTTAATAATTGAAAAAAGAAAAATAAGATTATAAATAAAATCAAAAAAACAGAAAGAATGAAAAAAAGAAAAATTAATACAGAGAGCTAAAAACAAAAAAAACAGAATCACTAAAAAAAATAAGTTCAAGAAGAAAAGAAAAGGCAAATCCTAAATCTAGCACAAGAAAACTACCAAAACTTAATCAAATACCATATCAAACCAGTTTGGTTCTCGTGAACCAATGTTACAAAGAAAGACAAATAAAACTAACAAGGTCGGCAATCCCAGCTTATGATCAGAGAAATTAAATCCTCAGAAAATTGAGGATCCAACGTGAAGCAAATGGCTGCTTAGGTGGGTCACACCTGGGCTTTAATGCCAAGTGAGTTTTTATTAGTACAGCATTATAGTATAGAAAATTATATTTAATATAAATGTAAAATTCTGTACTTAAAATAATAAAGGCAGGATCGCCAAAAAAAAAATTTTTTTAATTATACACCCATGTAATAAATCACATTTAAATATATACTTATAAAAGCAGCCAGGTTTTGAAAATAAAGTAGTAAAGTATCTACACAATAAGATTATTTATTTATGATTATTTGGTAACCCAGTAATTAAAAACGAATGTTTTTATATCATAATCACTAGACACTATTTGTTAACTTTGACACTATATGATCTGCCATTTTACCCACCCCACAATATACCCTTTTATGAAAGTTTATTAAATAAATAAATCGTAAAGTTATTCAGAAGATCAAAATATATGTATTCAAAAAGTTTGATATGAACTAAGTAACTTATTAATATATTGTTATTTTTTATGTCTTACAAAATATTGAGAACCAAGTTTAAAATTTGGTTCTGAACAAACCAGGTTTATACTTATAACATATTATATAAAAATTTGGTTCTTAGGTTTTTAATTTGGAACCTAAACCAAACCAACTAACTTTACTATACTTAAATCAAAATATCGTTTTCAAAGTTATCGGACAAATGGGCCAATTTCTATCCCGTTCATTCTGGAATCAGTGATGTGCCTAAATCTTCGTTCGGTTCCAATAGGCTATGTGTACACAATGAATTTTAATATTTGTCCTTAACGTAGAATCAATTAACTTCCTAGAGATGTTCAGATCATTTCCTTACCTATACTGCTTGAGAAGTACACATTCACCGCCATTTTCCAAATCTATATTATATTGATAGAAATAGCCTTCCGAGGTAACAACCATGACTTGAGGTGTGGTACTAAGTAATAAATTTTGTCAATAACAAAATGTAATGAAACGTCCTGCTTTCCATGAACACGACTACCGTATTTAAACATCTTCTCCAGTGCTAAGCCCTATAAGAATTTCAATAACTTGCATCAACGAGAATGAAATGTATAAATGTATAGATACCTACTTGCTTAATGCAACTACACTTTGGACTCCAGAACTAGGTAATTTCAAGTAAGCGAAATCGCGAGTTGGTTCCCACATTTCCGTAAGAGCATCTGGAAGATAATTACCGACACTACCAGCTACAGTGCGTCCAAGGTGAAGAGATTGACGTCGTATTGCACTTATTGCCAAAATGTAAACATGGATCCAAAGCAAATTAAATAATTAATACCGTATTTCGAATTTAAATGACGGACAATAATTATATTAACACAATGCTACTCGTTTACATTCATTGCTATAACAACTCACCCGACAGACCCAGTCTTTTTCTTGCCATCAATGAAAGCCTCAAATCCTCCTATTGTCGCAGGCCCAATAGAGTGACGAGTGAGAGAATTCGCAACACCACCTGCACCATTAGTGGCACCATTATTCGCATTTGCGTTACTATTAGGTCCACTTGTGTTTCCAACTAATTTGAAGACATGTACAGTTTCAGTGTCACTCGAAACACATAATAATGAGCTAACAAGATTGAACGAGATAGAGTGGATGCGAGCTGGATAAGATCCCCGCCGAAACTGATGCAATTTTTGAACATTTGGAATTGAAAAAACACGGATTACAGTTCCCTAATGCAAAATTGTAACATTCAGTATACAATAATTCATATAATTCATAAACAAAGTAAGTGGCATACATACCTTATCACTAGCAGTTGCCAACAACGTTCCTTCAGAGTTAATGGCTACGTAAGCTACTGGGCTTTTATGCGCTTGGACAACATTGACAACTTGCAATGATAATGCGTCAAAGATCAAGACGTCACCAGATGGCGCAGTATGTTGTGTACTATGATTGGAAAAAGGTGATGATGGTGATGGAGTTGGAGAAGGATAGGCTATGTAGCAATTGTCATTTGAAGGAGAAAGGGCGCAAATTGCTACGAATTGATACAGAATATGTAAATTAAAATTATTGGAAACTTAGAGATAACAATTGGTGAACCTGGCAAATAATCACCATTTGGGTTAGGACTAGTATCAATAGTATGCAACAATTTCATATTGCTGATGTCGTAAATAAAAATTGTTTGCTCTAAAACAACAATTAATCGGCGACGGTTAAGTTTAACAGCTAAGATCGAAGTTTGGAAGGTAAGTTCACATATTGTTGTTTGTCGCTTTTTTTTTTTAAAAAAAAAAAAACAAGATAGTTATCCGTTAGGTTATTTCTTTTACCAATTCAATTAATCGAATGTTTAAATTAAATGTGAATATACCTTGGTGTTAGTGATTTGTAATCGTCGTGGTGAGAATGATGGATGGTCTCCTGCACCAACGAGAGCTACTAAGGACGTACAAAAAAGCATCTCAACGATACCAGTACCACCACCAGCTTTTGTTTAATTATGAGGAAATAAAATACCAACGCGTTAAATTAAAATTAAACAAATTTTACGAACTTTAAAGTTATCGCATGTCAATATCGCAGGCACTACTAATTTTGTCTTAGTTTATAGAACATATGTACCAGCGACAACTTCATTCATGCGATAAAAGAACCACAAATAAATCATATAAGTGCATTATTTTAATGCCAGTAAAGAGGACTTACATTTTGAGTAACACTTTCCGAATGGGTCACAATTATATATCTTGTAGCCATGTTGTGTACCGACAGAGATGCAACTTTAAATTTAAAAGATGAAATTGTTTTAGCATATAAAGCACTTGTACACGTTCATATTTAAGTTAAATGTTAGGATTCAAGCAACATTTGTACAGTTAACTTTTAAACATTTACTGATGGTAAATGCAACACACTGAAAAACCTAAGAGACGAAGACGCGTGTCCAACCAACTACTTTTAAATTTACCTGAAATCTTGATTGAAATTAATAAACAATAATTCGTTGTTTCCCCGACCGCTAAGATTCATGACCAATATTTGGGTTAATTAACAGCGAAAGTTCCAGTTTAGGTCAATTTTTAAAAACTGGATGGACCACAAGGCGTTCCCGTGGCGTTCCCGTGACACCTTTATAGTTCTATTTTCTGCAAAACTTCGGTATACATTGAGGCTGATTGCAAAAAAAAAAAAAAACACCGTTTATACATGATTAGTGTCACAATAAAAAGTTAATATGATGCTATATAAATAACAATTTTCGTTTTGCTTAACAACCGTGCGTTATTTGTTTCTTGAAAAAAAAACGTTTGCAAAAACCCTTGTTAAATTTTTATCACATTGTAATTGCAAGTTTCAGGGTAAGAAATTTGCTTTCGCATTTGGTCAAGGATTCCCAAGTGAAGTGAAGTGCACGCTGAATATGTTTATTGCAGACTAGTTATAAATTGCCAGAGTAATTTTTTACAAAACTTCTCTAATTATTGTAAATAGCACGTACCTCAGTAATTTCGATCGTATAATACGATGGACCATTCTGGCCACTCACCCGAAAGTCGAGGTTATCCTGATGAGTCACCAGAGGAAGCGCTTATGGCGTCTTTTCGAGTTGCAGCAGAGTCTGTTGCGCAACTTTTCAAAACCTCTTTGAACCAAACGAAGCGTTATGATAACGGTTATGAACAGTGCCTACGAGATTTGATGGAATATGTTTCAACGCATCCCAACGTTCAACAAAGACGTCAGACAAGTGGTGGTGACGGTCGGGATGCATTCATATGTGTTGATGATTTGTTAAAGTTCATTCATTCTAAAACTGAGCATCTAAAGTCTATGAGTCGACGAACTCGCGACGATGCCATGAATGTTCGCCACCAATCCCAACAACAAACACAACATTTCGTACAAACACCACAGCAGATATCCCCTTTTCAAGCGGCTGGCACACATACACATTCTAATTCCGGTGACTCTCCGGTGTCGGATAATATCTTTGGAACCGATCGTGACCAGTTTAACTTTTCTCTTCAATCAAATCTTATGTACCACCCTATTCAGCACGAAATTGACTGCATTGATACAGGACAAGAAGGTGGTATTGGGATTTTGGCTAGTAATGATTCCTTAAAGAGACGATACGGTGGTCCAACAGAATTGAACTTTTTTGGTCGTTCAATGCCCCTAGAATATTCGTTCTTCGAGCCACTAACTAAAAAGGGAAGGCTTCGCAAGGATGAGTGACTTTATTTTCTTTATATCAATCTCTTGTTTTATGTGACCTCTGTGTTTTTACAATGGTGATGATGTCTTCAATGTCGTTTAACGCCGTTTCATCGTATGTATGACAAATGTTTTAATTACGTTTTTTTTGCTTTTAAAAAAATAAAATTACACTACCTTCTCATTACTATTTCTCTTATTTATCAGATCTCCTTTGTTCAAATATGGTTGATTGTTGGGTTTGAACACGGTTTCATTCTTGCATTTTCTCAATATACATAATGTCAAATAAGAAACAAATAAATCAATGTAAAAAAAAGACAATTAAACCTTACATATAAACCAACGACGTGTTACAATGATTATATTAGAAAGAGTAAGTTGTTCAATAAATTGGCTCGAGAAATTTTTCAGCTTTGTATATCACGAGATAAATTAATTATCGTGAATAATCATTAGGTGTGATAATCTTGTAATGATTATTTTCTCGTTTTGAGGTATTAGATATATTTAATGAATACGCTACAATATTTTGGTTTATATATTAATTTATACATTCTTTTGTTTTGTATATTTGAATTTATTGAAGTTTAATATTAAAAGAATTCTTTTTTTAGTCTATTTAGAAAATGGACATGATTTGTAAATTGATTTTTAATAAAAAATATTTTTTAATTGAATATCATTCTAGAATATAAATGTGTATTTATAGATTAATTTTATAGGTGTTATTAAATACTATGTGCGTTTATAGATATTGAAGTTGTAATACGTTGATTTGCAATTCGTAATGTCCGATAATAACTGTCCGATTAAATTTTAAAAAAAAAAATTTTATCAAATTTTATCGCATTTAAAAGAACTTTAAATTTTCAAATTTGTATAAAAAATTTCTATTAAATTCAATTAGATAGTTATTAAACAAATTTTTGTTAAAAAATAAAAGAATTTTTTTGTAAGATATTTAAATTCTTATTAGTGATTTTTAATTGGATTTTATAGTTTAGAGATTAAGTTTTCAAGTCTTTACAGACTAGATAATAGTTAAAGTTTAGCTAAAAACAATATATTTTTGTATTTAACAAATTAGCTAATAATTAATATTATGGATAATGCTAAAATTTGGTATTTTAATTTGAAATTATAAGCTTTATCAAAATTTATCTATGCTTTTTGGTTAACTCTAATGCTAAATTTTAACTTTATTTTAAAAAATATACAAATAAAAAAGTTTAAAAATTTTTAAAAATTACTATATTTAAAATAATTTAAATTTTAGTATTATTTGATTTTAATATTAAACTATTCCTTAAACCATCTAGCAGGCAAATTTGTCTGCTAAAATCTTCATTTTTTCGATTTTGTGCGATTGTGCCTGATTTTTCTAAGCAGCAGTACCCTCTTTCCTAAGCTAGAATTAAAGTATACTATTTTGCAGATCAACTTGTGATTTCATATCATATGTTAGTAGTACATGATATTGTATATATACATTAGTAGTATAGTGATTATCTATTAATTGTTATCAATTTTATATTAAAAAAAACAAAAAAAAAATAATAATAATAATATTATAGATGGACACAACTCTTCCTGATGATCACTTGTACCAACCAGTTTTCAAAAACAAGTTAAAGACTTAAAACCAGAAGAGAACAAATAACTTGAAGTTTTCTTAATACAAACTGTTGTTGACAAAGTTTTGAACGTGATATACCAAGGAGCAGATGTTTTGAACAGTTTGCAAAGAGGTCAAGCCTTGTTATCTTGTCTTCTTGGGTGGATTTCTTTTTGTGTTCAGCATCCAACCCAGAGGAGTCTCTGGGAACAGTAAGTGGAAAGAAGACTTAAGTTATGTTAGGAACAGAAGGCTATGAAGAACTTTTGGAACAATACTTCTTAGTTAGAAAACTCGCAAAATTATATTTTTTTTGCGGTTCTTTTTCTTCATAATTTTTGACAAAAATTGGGGAATTTGGCTACCCCCTCCAAAAGATCAGCAAAAAATCAGTATTATTTATCACTTCCATTTTCGAAAAGTCTCGAGTTATGCTATGATGAATAAGAAAAACAACAAACACGTGTAAGGAGGAAGTTTTGAGGCTGAAATTAAAACTGACGATTACTCTAGAACCTGAGTTAGATTTAATACAAGACTTGGCAACTAGAATAATAATATAAGATATGCAATATTTTGAAGTTGTAAGCATATAATTTTTAGTCCTTAGCATAGGTTAAAATGCATTGTAGTTTCATTTGTTAAATAGCTCTATATATAGATTTCTATGACCATGTAGATAGTTTTTTACCTGGTTAGCGGGTTTTTATATCTGTAGACAAGTTCTCTTAGATTTTAGGATAGTCTTTTAACTCCTTTATAATTTGGTCATCTTCTTTGTATGTTTGTTTTTTTTATTTACTTTTTTTTTCATTCTATACTTATTATTTTTTTTTTTTTTTACTTCTCTATGAAAAAGTGTCATCAGATTGGCGGCACTCTATTGTAGAGTGGTAATTTTGACAAGGTTAGTGAAAACCATCTTTTGATCTTTGGGGTACATATTCTCAATAAGTTAAGGATCCTAAAAGAAGAAAAATGTTCACTTAGGCGAGTCACTCCTGGGTTGTATTCTAGTATAAATTTGGGGTTTACTTCATTTTTATTGTGATAATAAGATAGATCAAGAGATTCTTTATTTGTAACAAGTATGAAGTATTTTTTATAGATAATATAGGTTTAGCTAACTGAAATATCTTGTTGTAAGGTATTGCTGATAAAAAAAAAAAAGAAAGAATCGCTAAAGTAAAAAAAAATATTATTATTATTATAGATATATCTCTACATTTCATATGATATTATTTTGTCCATGTTTGTAATATTTATTGCTGAATTACTAAAGTGATTGAGAAGCTTTGGCCCAATAAAATGTTCTCTAAAAAAATATACCATTTTTTGGTTTGCACTCTTTGCTTGTATAACATAGCATATGCAATGATGTAAAAATTGTAGTGTTATATACTTTGTGTTCCTGAAAGTTCTCTAGTCAATTTCGGTTAGTTTTTCAATAAAAAAAATTTATTTTAGATTTTTTCTTCTAATTATTTTAGTGGCCAAATTTGCCTGCTAAACCTGGACAGTTTAAGGGATAAGTTTTTTTATTTTAACAAATTGCATTAGTATATACATGCCACCAAAATAAGTTTTTAAAAAAACTCTATTTTGTTTCTATTAGAGCAAATTAGAATTTTTTATATACAAGATCAAATTTAATTTAAGTAGTTATATTTCTTATAATTTTGTCTCTTCAAAAAAAATATTAAAAAATTCATTTTTTAAGTAAAATAAATCAAAAACAATTTGATCATCAAATTTTAATTTTGAGTTTTAAACTCTAAAATAATTTTATCAGCATATAAGATAAA